AATCGTGTTTCTTTTAAAAACAAGTTCAAACATTACCGAAGTTTACAGCGTAGGAAATATGTCTTCTATAATCTCCCTTAACCAATATACCTCTCAACATTCTCCTCACCCCCAACTCCACCCTCCCAGGATAACCAGTTGGCACATAATCTTTATTTAAAAATTATTTTCAGCAGTCCACATTAGAGTTGAAATTTTCTGGTGGGAGAATCTATACCTTGTTCCTTTATAGGCCAAGGACCGCAATCCTTCAGTAACACCAGTGTAAGAGCTTGAGGAGAAACTGTGAAGCTACACAGTATTTGTTTTCTAATACCTCTTGTCATTCTAAATATCTTTAATTTATTTTAAAAAAAATATATATATAGTATTGAATGCCTACTGTGTGCTAGGGAGTGTTCTAAGCACGTGGGTTACAGCAGTGAACAAAATAAAGGTGCCTATCCTCATAGAACATAGATTGTAGCATGGTATCTACTGTATCATACAGTAGATACAATAAACTATATTGAATATTAGAATGTGGCAAATGCTATGGAAAAAGAGTCAAGCCAAGTAAAGAGGATTGTTTAGGGTACAAGTTGCAATTTTAAATATGGTAGTCAGAGCAGGCCTCACTGAGGTGACATGACATTTAAGCATAAACATGGAGGAGGAAGAGTAAGCCTGAGCTGTCTTAGGCTTCCGGGGCAGCCAAGCCATTTCCATGGCACTAGGAGCCTGATGTTTCCAGTTCCACCTTTGATGACTGCATTTTCTCTAAGACATGGGAGGGACCTTTTCTCCTATTGTTTTTAAGTACTAACTCCAGCTAGGCCAGCCTTCTCATAGTGTTATCTAAACTTCATAGCAGATATATGAGGTAGCAGTAACATTATGTCCATTTCTCACAGAGGCACTACTAGATGAAGGAGTTTACCTGAGGTCATACAACCAGGAAGTAGCTGAGCCTAGATTCCTGCCACCCACCCCATGGCCCTGCTCATATTCCACCTGCCTCTGATTTACCTCTTTTCCTTGTAGACCAGCATTCTCAAAACTGGAGGACTCCTTTGAGGCCCTCTCCCTATACCTGGGGGAGCTGGGCATCCCACTGCCTGCAGAGCTGGAGGAGTTGGACCACACTGTGAGCATGCAGTACGGCCTGACCCGGGACTCACCTCCCTAGCCCTGGCCCAGCCCCCTGCAGGGGGGTGTTCTACAGCCAGCATTGCCCCTCTGCGCCCCATCCCTGCTGTGAGCAGGGCCGTCCGGGTTTCCTGTGGATTGGCGGCCTGTTTAGAAGCAGAACAAGCCATTCCTACTACCTCCCCAGGAGGCAAGTGAGCGCAGCACCAGGGAAATGTATCTCCACAGGTTCTGGGGCCTAGTTACTGTCTGTAAATCCAATACTTGCCTGAAAGCTGTGAAGAAGAAAAAAAAAAGCCTGGCCTTTGGGCCAGGAGGAATCTGTTACTCAGATCCACCCAGGAACTCCCTGGCAGTGGATTGTGGGAGGCTGTCGCTTACACTAATCAGCATGACCTGGACCTGCTGGGCAGGATCCCAGGGTGAACCTGCCTGTGAACTCTGAAGTCACTAGTCCAGCTGGGTGCAGGAGGACTTCAAGCGTGTGGACGAAAGAAAGACTGGTGGCCAGAAGGCACTCAAAGGGTGTGAAAAAGACAGTGATGCTCCCCCTTTCCACTCCAGATCCTGCCCTTCCTGGAGCAAGGTTGAGGGAGTAGGTTTTGAAGAGTCCCTTAATATGTGGTAGAACAGGCCAGGAGTTAGAGAAAGGGCTGACTTCTGTTTACCTGCTCACTGGCTCTAACCAGCCCAGGGCCCACATCAATGTGAGGGGAAGCCTCCACCTCATGTTTTCAACTTACTACTGGAAACTGGCTGAGAACTTAACAGGCAACATCCTTTCTGTCTGCAACAGTCACAAGCACAGGAAGAGGCTAGGGGACTAGAAAGAGGCCCTGCCCTCTAGAAAGCTCAGATCTTGGCTTCTGTTACTCATACTCTGGTGGGCTCCTTAGTCAGATGCCTAAGACATTTTGCCTAAAGCTAGATGGGTTCTGGAGGATAGTGGCTTGTCACAGGCCTAGAGTCTGAGGGAGGGGAGTGGGAGTCTCAGCAATCTCTTGGTCTTGGCCTCATGGCAACCATTGCTCACCCTTCAGCATGCCTGGTTTAGGCAGCAGCTTGGGCTGGGAAGAGGTGGTGGCAGAGTCCCAAAGCTGAGATGCTGAGAGAGACAGCTCCCTGAGCTGGGCCATCTGACTTCTACCTCCCATGTTTGCTCTCCCAGCTCATGAGCTCCTGGGCAGCATCCTCCTGAGCCACATCTGCAGGTACTAGAAAACCTCCATCTTGGCTCCCAGAGCTCTAGGAACTCTTCATCACAACTAGATTTGCCTCTTCTAAGTGTCTGTGAGCTTGCACCATATTTAATAAATTGGGAAAGGGTTTGGTGTATTAATGCAATGTGTGGTGGTTGTATTGGAGCAGGGGGAATTGATAAAGGAGTGGTTGCTGTTAATATTATCTTCTTGTTATATCTATTGGGTGGTATGTGAAATATTGTACATAGACCTGATGAGTTGTGGGACCAGATGTCATCTCTGGTCAGAGTTTACTTGATATATAGACTGTACTTCTGTGTGAAGTTTGCAAGCTTGCTGTAGGGCTGAGCCCTGAACTCCCAGCAGCAGCACAGTTCAGCATTGTGTGGCTGGTTGTTTCCCGGCTGTCCCCAGCAAGTGTAGGAGTGGTGGGCCTGAACGGGGCCATTGATCAAACTAAATAAATTAAGCAGTTAAAGCAGTTAACATACCTGGCAATATGGAAAGTGAAAACATGTCTGGCTCAGGGACGTAAATGTAGAGGGTCTGCTAGCCACCTTCTGGCCTAGCCCACACAAACTCCCCATAGAGAGTTTTCATGCACCCAAGTCTAAAACCCTCAAGTAGACACCCATCTGCTCTAGAGAATATGTACATCCCACCTGAGGCAGCCCCTTCCTTGCAGCAAGTGTGACTATGACCTCCTCCTGGCTTGGGTCTCACATGCCAGCTGAGTCATTCCTTAGGGGCCCTACCCTTTCATCCTCTTTATATGAATACTTCTATAGCCTGGGTATCCTGGCTTGCTTTCCTCAGTGCTAGGTGCCACCTTTGTCATGGGAAGAAATGAAAGCAAGTCACCCCACCCCTTGTGTTTCCCTACAAGTGCTTGAGAGGAGACCTGTTTCTTGTTGCTTCCGCATATGGGGGATGTTGTGGAGTGACCACTGGGAAGGACAATGCTATCTGGTTAGTGGGGCCTTGGGCACAATATAAATCTAAACCCAAAGGTGATTTCTCCCAGGCACTCTCAAAGTTTGAAGAATCCAACTTAAGGACAGAATCTGGTTCCCCAAAAAAAAACTAATGATCTGGAGTACGCATTGCTGGCAGAACCACAGAGCAATGGCTGGGCATGGACAGAGTTCATCTGGGTATTCCTGAGGCTGAGAACCTGTGGCTGAAATCCCTTGGTAAAAGTCCAGGAGACACACCTGTTGGTATCTTTCCTTCTGTAGCCATAGTAGTCACCTTGCAGGGAACTTCCTCAGCCCAGGGCTGCTGCAGGCAGCCCAGTGACCCTTCCTCCTCTGCGGTTATTCCCCCTTTGGCTGCTGCAGCACCATCCCCGTCACCCACCCCTCAACCCCTGCTGTGTTCCAGACTTTGACAAAGGCTGTCTAGATATTCATTTTAGCTACCTCCACCTTGGAAACAGTGCTGAAGGGGAGAGGATTTGCAATGACCAGCCACCTTATTGGGAGGCCTGCACACCTGTCCTTCCTGCAGCTTTAACCTGAAAGACTCCTGATGATAATAATCTGGACACAGAAGCTGGGCACGGTGGCTCAAGCCTGTAATCTCAGCACTTTGGGAGGCCTTAGCTGCTGGATCACCTGAGATCAAATGAGAACAGCCTGACCAACATGGTGAAATCCCGTCTCTACTAAAAATACAAAAATTAGCCGGGTATGGTGGCACATACCTGTAATCCCAACTACTCCAGAGGCTGAGGCAGGACAGTCGCTTGAACCCAGGAGGCGGAGGTTGCAGTAAGCCGAGATCGCGCCATTGCACTCTAGCCTGAGCAACAAGGGCCAAACTCCATCTCAAAAAAAAAAAAAAATCTGGACACAGGCTGCAGTTGTCACCTTCTAGTAACAGGGCCAGGATGAATGAAGAAAAGGCCCAGAGCTTGCCACACAGGTGTTAACAAGGTAACACAAAGCTTCTCAACTTATAGGGAATGTTCCTATTACCTCTCAAAAATTTGGCAATGTGGAGTCTTTTTTTTTTTTTTTATTAAGTCAAATGCAGAGCAATTTCCCACACTAAATGCAGGTGTCAGAATGAGGTATATAAAACATGTATATAGAGAAATGCCTTTATAGAAAAGTAGAAACCAGTAATATTCTCTTCTCCAGCATCACTAACACCAAGAGACCCCCTGAGGTCTAGGTCCCCAAAGCAGATGGCTCCATAGAAAGCCCCACTAACCCCCATCTCCACATTGGGCAGTGGAAGGGCTCTGAAAAGGAAGCTCTATGGCCAGGGACTGCCAGGCCTTCGAGTGTGACATCAGGGCTTAGAGGCCCTGCTGAGCTGCTACCACAGTGCAGTGGAGAAATGTTGCACTCAGTCAGGAAGCTGGGCTCTCGCCATGCCAGTAGCTTGCTTATGACCTTGGGCAAGTCACTTTTTCCTCTCTGAGGCCCTGTGTCCAAAAGGTTTAATGAACCCTTTCTAATGATTCTTTGATTGTTTTATAAGTTAGGGGCTGTCACCCTAGCCCCACTGCCCTACAGGAAGGTGCTGGCCTGGAGACCCACAGGACCACCTGCTAAATCAGGCCCACCTCAGGAGCAAGTCCTAAAGTGCTTTATTATCTTGCCTCTGAGCTTAGTTTCCAGGTTAACCTCTTAGAAGCAGCTCACAAGGCCCCATAGTATAATTCCCATAGGTTAGCTAACCACTCTCTTACCTGTGCAAAATGAAGACAGGTCACTATCCATCCCTGAAGAGGAACAGGCATCCCAGGTCTGCCTCTGCTCCTGTGGCCAAAGCTGCTCCTGTGGCCAAAGGCGGAGCAGATCCTTCCCTATCCTCTTCCTAAGTGGAATGCTCAGTGCAATTCTTCCCTTCCTTTCCTTGTGAAACAGGAAGAGTCCCTGGGCCCAGGCCTGGCCCATAGTTGTCAAGGCACATCATTGCTAGCAAGCTGGAGCATACCAGCAGCCACAACCTAGATCTCATTCTCAACCCAAAATTTCTGACTTCTGTACAGACTCACTTCTGGTTCTCAGAGGTCAGTAGGGAGTTCCATCCCAAATATTTTAAAAACTAAACATATTTTTTCGATCCCATCCCTTGACCTGCTTTACCTTAACCATGAATAACAGTGTATGCCACTCAAGCCCATGATGGAGACTGAGGCCATCTTAGTAAAGCACAGAGGAGCCTGGGGGAGCTCCCCATCTATCCCTGGTTCAGCTCCAGGGGTGCAGGCAATGTTTGGAAGCCCTTAGCAGCAGCATCACTGTGGGAGCTGCCACTGTCTCCATCCACAGACAAAATCTGCTCCAAGGGATGGAGAAGGAGCACTGTTAGGACCCTGCCCAGCCTTACCCTCAGCCCACAGTGCCATCTGCTTCTGTCACTTATTAGGATTCACCAAAAAAGGAGGGGGAATGGTAGGGTTTTAACCAGAACACAAAGTGGTAGATCCTCCCAGCTGTAGGAGGGTGGGCTGTCCTGCACCAGTGTCTGCATGGGCTCCTGCCCACTGAGGGGACTCAGGCCCCAGGAGTCCCGGCCTGGCCCATAAGAGGAGTGCTGCCCTCCTGAGGGTCAACTGGAGTCTGGCTGGTGTGGACCACGACAGTCTTCTCATCCACAATCTCACAGGTAGGGTTGGTGAAGGCAGACAAGGGCAGAGTGATTCGCTGCATCTCCCTCTCACACATTTTCTGATCATGCTGTTCTTTCAAATCCTTCCCCCTGGCAGGAAAAAAAAAAAAAAAAAATTCAGGCTATGCCTCCTGCATAGTTTTGCTCATTAGATGGCATCCCTGAGGTTCAGCAGTAGCAGCAGCTTGCCATCGTCACAACAAATCAGTGGCTGAGCCAGGACTCAAACTCAGGTCCAGGATACTAGGATATCCATTCTGCAAGACTGCGTTTAACTCAGTAAGAAGCTCCTGCACCTCTGGTCTTAGGTTCTCCATCTGTAAAACAGGGTGACAGCAGTATGGACTTCCTACAGCTTCACCAGGGCTCAGTGAAAATAAAGTAGAGGACAGAGACTTTTTTTTTTTTTTTTTTTTTTTGATTGAGACAGGGTCTCAACATGTTGCACAGGCTGGTCTCAAACTACTGGGGTCAAGCCAGCCTCCTGCCTCCCAAAGTATTGGGATTACAGGCATAAGTCACTGCACCTGGCCAGACAGAGACTCTTAAAGCAAGACACAGTTTTGTTCTTTCAGCCCAGGGCTCCCAGAGACCCTGAGAACTATCTGAACTTTGGACCTAACCTATAAAGTTGTCCAGAAAACTGGCCTGATCATCCTGCTGTGAGACAGCCTTCTTATCCTTAAGTCTCAGAAGGTATGAGCCCAGGCTGGAAATGGACCATCCCTAACCCATGCAGGGGGCAAAAAGGACTGAGGGCTGCTTGGGTCAATGGGAAACAATGAAACAATGTCATCAGACCTCTCAGAGTTTTCACATACCTCTGAATTTTCATGGTGCTCACTGACCCGGTCAAACCACGGTATAACTCCATTTTACTCATGGAGTGCTCATTCCATGCTAGGGACTTAATACACCTAATCCCACATCATTCTCAGCTCAACCCTAAGAATTAGGGCTTATTCATTTTATAGAGAAAGAAATGGCCTAGAGATGTTAAGAACGCTCTCCAAGGATGTGGTGGGCTCAAATCCATGTCTCTGGCTGATGCTCAGAGAAGTTCTGACCTGACCAAATTCACCCCACAAAAAATGGTGGAGCTGGCCGGGC